AAAGATAACGCTGTAGCCTTAATGAAATGCAGTGAGCAGTTTGGGAACCACGTGTGTTCTGCTACCAACAGCTACTGAACAAGACGAACTGAGAACAAGCACACTTTTTCTGATACTTATTGCAGGTAACCAGCGTAACAGGTAAAAATAAACATATTCCAGCGTCTGCAGAGATCACTACGGTGGGACGGCAGCAAACACAAACTCCAGGCGTTTTGGGCATGGCAAATTCTGGGTACCATTTTTGACTTTTTTGTTTGGAAGATAACGTGATATCCCCGCTTATACGAAGAGAAGGGACCGTGGAGATGCTGCTGGCCTTGTGCTGCGTAAAACACTCCAAAATTGAGGCACTTTCGCCCTTTAGAGCCGTGAGCCCAGCACATCCTTGTGAAGCAGGCTCCTGCGTCACCCCGAGGCTCGAAGCTCGCCCGGCTGCCGCCGGAGCACCGGGGGCAGGGGGGCAGGGGCCGGCCGTGCCCTCCCGCACCCCCTTGTCACTTTTTTTGTCACTTTTTTTGTCACTTTCCCACCTGGGGAGCGCACCCTACGCCCCGTCCTCGCTCCTCAGGGCCTGGACTCCGCGCGGGGGGGGCACCCGCAGCAAATGGTGGCCGCACCCCCCCCCTCATACCCCCCCAATCCCCAGCGGCGGCGGCGAGGACCCCCCTAAGCCCCCTCCCCACCGCGTGCACCCCCCGCAGCGCACCGCACCGCACCCTTCCCCTCCCTCCTTTCCTCCTGCTCCCCTCCCCTCCCCTTCCCTTCCCCACCGCCTGCGCAGGCAGGATGCGCGCAGCGCCGCCATCCCGCAGCGGGAGCCGCGCATGGCGGGGCGCCGGGCACCGCGCTCCCCGCGGCGGCGGCGGGCGACAAAGTTTGTGCCGAGCCGTGCTGAGCCGAGCCGAGCCGAGCCGTGCTAAGCCGGGCCGGGCCGGGCCGAGCCGAGCCGGGCCGGGCCAGGCCGTGGTGCCGCCCGCCCGCCGTGCGGCTGAAGCGCGGCGGGGCGGGGGCGTGCTGGCGCTGGGGGTGGGGGGTGCTGCGGCCGGCGATTGGGCGGCGCGGCGCTCGGAAGCACTTTGTTTTCTATTCTAATGAGGGCGGAGCGGGGCTTGTGGATATTTACGTTGAGGCGGGAGCCGCCGCCCTTCATTCACCCACATGGTCCCCGAGCCCTGCCGCCGCTACCGGGACCGGGACCAGCACCGGCACCGGGACCGGCCTTGGCGCCGCTTCTCCCCCCCACCCCCCATCCGCCCCGCCGGGCAGCGGCGGCGCTGCCTCGCCTCGCCCCGCAGGGAGGAGGAGGAGGAGGGAAGATGGTGGCGGCCGCCGCTCGCTCGCTCGCTGGTGAGTGTCGCTGCCGGGAGACCTGTTGTGAGCCGCCCGGCGGTGCGGGGGGCGGGCGGCGGTGCGGGGGGCTCCGCGGGCGGCTCGGGGGTCGGCAGGGGGGCGGCGGCGGCGGCAGGGGGGTGTGGGTGGGTGGGTGGGCGGCGAGGGGGGAGCGGGAGCAGGGCGCATGGCAGCGGCCGCCGCGGCGGCGGCGCCTCCCGAGCTCGCAGACGGGGCGGGAGGGGCCGGAATGAGGGAGATTTGAAAAGCGTGCGCGCCGCTCGCTGCCGCCGTGAGTCCCGGCGCCCCCCTCCCTCGCCCCCGCAGCCCTTCCCCTCCTTTCTCCCCTTGCCCCCTCGCCGCCGCCAACCGGGCCCGGGGCGAGCCGCCGGGCGGGCTGCGGGAGCGGCCGAGCCTCCCGGGGCGGGCGGCGCGGAGCGGAGCGCAGCACAATGGCAGCGGCTGGGGGCCGGGGGTGGGAGCTGGGCGGGGGGGGGGGGGGGGGGGGAAGGGAGGGTGCCGGGGAGGGGGCTGCAGCCCCCCGGGGGGTGGCTTTTGGGGCGGGAGGGAGCGGGGAGGAAGGCCCCGTCCGGGAAAGTTTGTGGCGTGCCCGGCTCGGCGCGGGGGGGAGCTGGCGGCAGCAGAACAAAGCAGCACATGGGGCAGAGGCCGCGGCGGCTCGGGGGCTCGGCTCGCCGCCCACGCCCAGCTCGGGGAACGGCGGCGGCGGTAAAAGAGGAGGAGGAGGAGGCGATGGAGGAGGGAGGGGTGTGCGCGGCCGTGGTGCCGCGGGGGGGGCTCTCGGGGAGTTCCCGGCTTTGTGCTCCGCCGCCCCCCGGGGGAGGGGGCGCGGGGCCCCGGGGAGGGGGCAGCGCCGCGGGCTGCGAGCGCGTCCCGGGCCCCTCCGCGTGGGCTTTTGTTCGCGGAGGGGCGGGGGCGGCGGGCCCTCCTCTTCCTCCCCCTCTCCCTCTCCGGGCCGCGCTGGGCGGCGGCGGCGGCCGCCTTTTGGGGGCGGGTGGGGGGTGGGGGGTCGCGGGCGTGTGTGGGGGGTGCTGCGGGCGGGGGGTTGCGGGCCGGGGCCCGGGCTCGGGCCGGCGGCTCCGTTACGAAATCGGCGCGGCGGCAGGCGCGGGGCCTCGGCGGCGCCATGTTGTGGGGAGGGGGAGGAGGGAGGCGGGGGACATGGCGGCGGCTGCGTGCTGGGGCCGATTGTTCCCTCCTAGGCCCCGAGCCGCGTGTGGGCAGCGGCGGCCCGCGGGGACGGCTCCCCCGCGGCGCCCCGCGGACCCTTCCCGGCTCCTGGGGGGGTGCAGCGGGCGGGCCCGGCCCCATCCCCATCCTCGTCCCCTCCGCCGGGGCTGCGGGGCTCGGCGGGCCCGGGGGGGCGTCACGCCGTAGCCGGGCTGTGACCTCCGCGCTGCCGCCGCTGCCGGCGCCCCCTGGCGGCCTCGCTCCGCGCCGCCGGCCCTGTGTTCTCGGCACGAACACGTGCTGCGGCCGGAGGGCGGCGGGCCCGGCCGGGAAGGGGCCCGCCGAGCACGGCCACGCCGCCCCGCGCCCTGCCCGCGCTCCTCGCCGCCCCCCGCGGGCCTCCAGCAGCGCCCTGAGCTCCGGGGAGCGGCCCCGGGGGGATCCCCAACGGGAGGGGGGTGTGGGGGTGGTCGGGGAGGGGGCTTTGGGGGGGATCTGGGGGTGCGGGGAGGGGGTGGGGGGGTTGTGAGGTGCGCGGGGGGCGGCCGGGCGTTTGGCGCCCTCGTGGCGGGCGGAGCGCGGGTGGGAGGCGGTGGTGCTGGGGAACTCGGCGTGTGACTTTGTTCTCCGCTCCGCAGGCAGAAAGCGAGGAGCTCGGCGGTGGTTTCGCAGCGTGGACACGTGCGGCGGGAGGTAACGAGGCTTGCTGGGGATGTGGAGGTAGAGGATTCGTGGAGAAAGTTGCCTTTTTTTTTATTTGCAGAAAAGGGTAAGTATTTATTTTTTGCTATTTTTTTTAATGTAGGGTCAGAGCCTGTGGATCTGAGTCAAAGCATGAGAGTTTGGTGAAGAGCACTAAATTGCAAAGACTTCCTTGGGTCTGGAGGCAGGTTTAGCAGCCCACAATTTCTCTCATTTAGAGGAGAATAATTCAAGACTTTTGAGCACACATTTTGAAGCAGCTGGATGGTGAGAAAGTCTTCAAAATGTTTGAATTCCATATCTGGGATTTTATTTTTGTGGGAAAAGCTCATTCTGAAGTACAACAAAAGTTACAGTTCTGTTGTAGGTTAAAACTATGGTAGTAAGCTTGCTGTATCAGGTAAGACTTTTACATTGGTGCAATACGCCCTATTACAGAAGGAATAAAATGTGCTTTCAAATTTTGAATACAGCATTCTCCTGCTTTATAGTATCTCAAGTCTGTAGTAAGCAGCCATAACTTGGTTGTGGCTATTACATATTTGCATATAGAGCCATCATTAGAAACTTTTTCAGTTCAGGGCAGGCCAAACTAAATGCAGTGGGGAGGAATTCTAGGTTGAGGCAAGGTGTCTGTAGCAGTAATTGCTATATTCTGCCAGCAAAGTGAATAAGTAGAAAACATAACGCCTGGCATGTTATGATGGTATGATATGCTTTCTGGACTTCAGAAGTCTGAGCTTAAGAGGTACAAACTGTTGAGTGCAACTTCTAAGTGTCTAATTACCTAAATTGGGCATTAACTTTGTTTATATTTGTTTAATACTTGCTGTCCTTACCCTTTTCTATTAAGGAGAATGCCCTTCCTACTTGAGATGGGTCTCTGAAAACTATTAGTTATTTTTACCTCCACAAGTTGGTGTTCTGAGAATGAGAATCATATGGGAGAAGTAGTTGACTCATTTTCACAATTGGGCTCTTCTGCTGTCATAGGTATTGATTTTGGCTCTCTTGGTAATTCTGTGTGAGAGTCCTGGATGGGGTAATGCACTGGTTCAGCTTTTTCTGAGGGAGGTCTTCAGCGCAGACAAAAAAAAAAAATACCCTGAATATTTGTTTCAAAGCTTGGTTGTCAAAACTGCGATTCAAAATTTGATCAAATACTCACTTTGTTCTTTCTTTCAGCAGGTACAAAGTAGGCGACGTATCTTGAATTTCTAAAAGCGCTGGTTGTGTCAGAGTAATGTCAAAGTGCTTACAGTGCAGGTAGTGATATGTAGAACCTACTGCAGTGAAGGCACTTGTAGCATTATGTTGACAACTGCTTCGGGAGATCTTGCAGGACTTCAGAGACTGGAAAGGTACAGTGTGGTGGTGTCAAGTGCTTTTTGTACTAAGGTGCATCTAGTGCAGATAGTGAAGTAGATTAGCATCTACTGCCCTAAGTGCTCCTTCTGGCATAAGAAGTTATGTCTTCATCCAGTCACTCAGGTTAAGACTGTAGATGTTCCAGTAGTTTTCTGCTTTGCAGTCTTCTGTTAGTTTTGCATAGTTGCACTACAAGAAGAATGTAGTTGTGCAAATCTATGCAAAACTGATGGTGGCCTGTTATAATCTACATCAAGGAATCTGAATGCTTTCTGCCGATTATGGGATATTTGGTGGCCTTTCTTACTTTTAACAGCAGTCTAGTGAATAACAGCTCGTGTAGCACTAAAGTGCTTATAGTGCAGGTAGTGTTCACTAATCTACTGCATTATAAGCACTTAAAGTACTGCTAGCTGTAGAACTACACATTCAGCGTGTCTCACAGTTTGTTGTTTAACTGAACACTGTTCTCTGGTTAGTTTTGCAGGTTTGCATCCAGCTGTATGATACTCTGCTGTGCAAATCCATGCAAAACTGACTGTGGCAGTGACAAGTCAGTCAGTAAATGCGGACAAATTGTACCCCTTTCTACACAGGTTGGGATCAGTTGCAATGCTGTGTGTTTCTGTGGTATTGCACTTGTCCCGGCCTGTTGAGGTTGGTGGGGATAGAGGCTGAAACACTTCATAGCTTTAAGGAATTTCTCCCTCCTTCACTGATCTGGGAAACTGTAAAACCTTCAGTTTCTTTTTTGGAAAAAAAAAAATTATGTAACTGTCTGTGTAACTAGACTTTCATTTTCTGTACCTGGCTTGTTTGTATGCATTGGATTTGTTGCTGATAATAAGTATTTGCTGAAGTCCTTGAGTGTGAGTTTTGTTTTCCTTTCAAAAAAGGTTGTTATGAGCTTTCTATTAAACTGGGGTGGATACTCCTTTACAATTTCTTCTCCATTAATTTGTTGGGAAGAAATGGGTTGTAAGCATCAAAAAATCCTGATGAAAACTTATACTTGTACGCTGTAAGCTTGTTTCTCGAAATTGAATTACATGAAGTGTTCTTTAGCTTTCTTTTGTACTGCTTTTTATTATATCAAAACTGGGGATGTTCTAATGGGCTTTTAATCTTCGTTCTTCATCTGGAATTTGTCAAGTTCAAACATAGTAAAGGAGGCTACAGGCAGGGCCTTAATCATGCACCACTTGTGGAATCTTTAATACTAGTTAGGTGTCCACTTCTTGTGAAGCACCCATGTTGGTGGTGAGTCTAACACTAGTCAGCTTGCAGGCTTTGGAATAATGTGATTAGGATAGGATGCATAGCAATGAAAGCAGAAAATCTCTAAAGCTATCTGAAAAGCTCACCCATACCACTGTTTCAAAAAGACTAAGGCTGATTGGGGAAGACTAGGTACCTGGCTTCTTTATGAAGCATAAGTATAAAATCTGTAAGCGGAGCATTTGGCACATCTAGTTTTTTGAATGGCCCACATGTTAGTAAACTGCACTTCTTGCTCAAACATCAATGGCTTTCTTTTCTAAGACAGGCTTCCTGAGAAATAATGCTGTAAATTCAGACAAGTATCAAATTTGTTGCTTAAACTGCCAAAATATACAAACTATGCTCGTTTTAAAAAGCTTTTGTGTTAGAAAAAATAAGGGTATGTGGGTCAGTGCTGCCCTTACTTGCTGTTCTTGCCTCAAATTAAAACAGCATTAACTTGTTGTTTCCAAGGCAGTGCTTTCCAGAGTCAGTCAATGTATGCTGTGGTGCTGCATGGAATATTACTCCATTGTGTAGCAAAATGTTGGAGATCGAGGTGGATTTGGCATCTATAAGTTTTATTTCTGAAGTAGCTAAGCCAACTTAATCTTTAACTACGTGCTACTCCACTTCCACCCCTTTTACTCCTATCCAAGGAACTTGGAGTAGGTTTCTTACACGAAACACTTTTTTCCCAAGCTTAAAATTTTCTTTAGGCTTACAGATAAGAGGAAGCTTGTCTCAGTGAAGTCACCAGGTGAAGAAGTCACGCGTCTCATGTCCTGGTTGCTGTTCAGTATTTTTTTTTGCAGTAATTTGTTAGTACTAACAGGCTTATCTCCCTTTTTTGAATTTGAAAGCAGCATTCTTAGAAGTTGAAATGCAGGAATTGTTTTAATACATGGTGATGGTTATACTGCCATTCAAGCATCCCATTTTTTTTAACTTCTTGAAGATGCATCTTAGACAACAAAGCTTGTTAAAATGGAGCACTCATGGAAGTGGTTTTTATACTCATGGAGTCTGAAATTGTCCATTAGATTTGTTGGAGAGTACCTACCTAGTTTTAATACCTTTGTGTAAAAAAAAAAAAAAACCTGTCACAATTACTACTGTTCCCTTCATTTAATCCTTTAATTGCCCTGCCTGAAAAAAAAAAATGCACACAAAAAATGTTGCAAGTCTGTGAGGAATAATTTTATAACTTATCTAGCGTTTTAAAGACTTAGCCATGCTTTGTCAAGGGGTAATTATAACAATGTCTTTGTAACTGTAATAACAATCTTAGGTGCATGCTTTCAATACAGCTTTGTCTTACTAATTGTGAAATGTTACCAGAAGCTTGTCCCATGATTTTTATTTTTTTTGAGGAAAAATTTAAATCTACCCTAGGATTCAACCCATTCCGACAGATCGGTAGCTTTCTGATGGCTATATAGTAAGTCACATCAAGTTCTGTAAATCATTTCTCATTTTTTCTATTGCTAAACTCCACATAAATAATTGTTTTTCAATATATATTAGCTTCAGTGAAGTGGAGGCATTAAACTAGTTGAATGACAGTGTAGTGTAAGAAATAATGCTGCTACAAAGATCATTTGGCTTTAATAAAGTAAGTTGAGAGCCCTGTCACTTCTCTTTCTGTAAAGGTTGACTAGAATGGAGTGGTTAGATGAAACAAGCGCCAGTTTAAGAAGTGTGTGGAAATTATATTTGAAATACCAAAATAGGTAGTTTCTGCAGATGTGTTCAGATGTTTCTTAAAACACTCATGTGGATGGGAAGCTTATTTTTCCTGCTGGTACAGGTAATCATATTTTTCAAGCGATCTTCTGCTATGAATTAGTTTGAGCCATATACACTGATGTAAGCTTACGACTAGTGAAGATAAGCCTGCAGAAATGTTGAGAAATTTTATAAAATGACTTTTGAGTTTGTATTATGCAGGAAGACTGTAACTTAGTCTGTCTTGCTGCACAAAAAAGTAAGAAATTCCAAGCAGTATTAATTGCCTGGAGTTTCTAGCATGATCGCAGTTAGCCTTATAAGGAAAACCTTGTCTGTTAATCATAGAAAACTTTTCTCTATACGCTCCTAGTATATGAAAGCATGATGGGAAATTATGCGGCTTTTTCACTGATTTGTCACTGAATGATACCGAGAAAACAGTTCTTTAGAACTGACTTTCTTGTGTTGACTTGCAAATATCAAAGCAACTAGTGAGATGACTGTCAGGAGCAGACATTTTGAGTAATAGCTAGTTCATAGTCATTAAATGAACATAAAACTAGAGGGGGACATCCCCTGCTGTGGCAGCATGGAGTTGTCTCTTCTGCATAGCTGACGTTATCATGAGAAACTGAACAGAGCACTTGATGTTCTGTTTTTCTCTAATTCTAGTCTTTGAAGTACATCACATCTCTTCCTGTAGTTTGTAAATGATGTCTTCAAGTCTCACTTCAAGACCTGAAGATTTCTTCAAATCAGGGTTTGTTTCTGCACCACCTTCTGTCACTAGAATTAATTCCTGCAGCTTTCTCCCTCAAATGTTTGGGTTTAGTAGCTTCAGAATAATTGATGCAAATATTATTCACTAGGTAAAATACGTGTTATTTGATGGAGGAGCTAAAGCAGCTGATCGTAAAGCAGTGGGCTTGCATCATGCATTGGTTCTTTATCGCAGCCTTGCTATGGAGTCTGCAGTTCTGTTCCTAAAGAATCTTCATTTCTGGTCAGTGGCTTGCTTCATCAATTTATTTAGGAATAGGTTTAGGTAAGAAGGTACTGAAAAATGTTAAAGGTCTGAGGTTATCTCTAGTCCACTGAGTAAATACTTCTCTTACCTTGCTGATGGATTATCTGCTGCGCTTGTCTTCTACTTCTGTGTAGCAATTTTAACAAGTATCTGTCTTGATTCAGTTGGTGTGTTGAACAGGAGAAGAATAGAGAATGATGCCTGCTTATGTGTATGAGAATTGTTGGTCTGGCATCACCGAGACTGGAAATGAGTTCCCACCCTAGCATCATATCATGTTGCCAGTTCTGAAGCTTCTGGTTGCAGGAGGTACTTTGGGACACACAGAACGACTAGGAAACGTTGGGTGAACTGTGTGGGTTATGTTCATCCACATACGAGGATGTTAATACTCTCCAGCCAGGAATCATACTGCCTGTAAGAAGCTCAAATGCTGGCCTGGTGAGTAGAGACAAAAAGTTGTAAAACTGAATCTTTGCTCAGTTATTCTAAACTTTCCACCTTCCTAAGAAAAAAGTGTTTAACTCTTACTGTTAAACAAAACTATTTTTCTGTAGCATCCCAAAACGATTTAATGGGTGAACAGTTCTGTGAGTTCAGTCTCCTTTCAGGCTCACCTGCTTTTCAGGGTGGGGTGTTTTTTCATTATCCTTAAATTGCCAGGGTGACATGACACATGGGTAATTTAAGTGTAAGTATCCAAATACAGAAAGCTTGGTTACAGCCACATGCTGACTTCTTCAGGCTCTTTAGGAACTGAATCAGGTTCTATAAATATGTAGCAAACTGTGTAGACAGAGCCATAAAAGCAAATAGCTGTGATCTGTGTAGCCTTAAATATTTTTCTTTGACTTGAGGAGGTTAGTATTTCTGTTCATCACTGAAAAAAATACCACTGATTTATTTCAACCACTGTAAATTAGATCAGGTTTAGGGATCACTGAGGCTGTGGGAAGGCATCTCCATAGTTCATGTTCTTAATGGTTCTTACCTAAAGCTATCTTAATGCATGGATTGTTGCACAAGGTTGGTGAACAGAGGTAGCTGAGACCATTTTAACTGAAGAAATGCTCATTTTGGAGATGAGTGTTCAGCGCATGTTTGGGGTTCAGGCTGGCTTTGATTGCTGCCAGCTCATCTAGTTGATCAGTGCTAGCTAGTGCGTAGCCTGAGCCCTTAATGGTGTCATGCTGGAAAGTGAAGTTACTGAAGTATGTCTTTGCTCTCCTGAGTTTGGTTGAGGAGAGGTGTGTTACACAGAGTCTGACCTGAAGATAAGTGATGGCTGGCCATGTCCTACTTACAGTAGAAATACACAGGCCTGCTGGAAAAATGTGTGATACTGCCTGGGAGATGGGAGGAGATCAAGGATGCCATTGAAGGGAGGGTAGATGAATACAAGAATGGACAGGGAAAAGAAAAAGCTCAGTTAAAGCAGGAGGCTACTATAACTTGTGTTATTTAATAATTGGTATTTTCTATGCCTTCTGTGCCGCTGTGACTGACAAGAATGTTAGAACGACTGTCCTGCTGTGGGGCATGTCAGCAGTTTGGATAGAAATGGTCTGCGTTTTAACAATGGATAAGACACCATGCAACAATAAGAAATCCTTTGGGTGGCATGTTATAGAATCTTTAAAAGGTTCCAGATACCCACATCTTTTAAGTGTGTTTATTACAGTTCCCTTCCCTGCTATAGAAGAAATCTAGCTAGTTCCTGTTTAGTGTACTTCTCTAGTTTTTTTTTACTGTCCTCTCTGCAGAGCTGTAAAATATGAGCACTTAGGAAGTACTGAGTCACCGATTACTTGTTTTGATATGTGCATCTCTTTTTTTCCCCCTCCTTCCCATTCCCGCATATACACAGTATGTTGGCAAAGGCCCATACTTTTTGTGGGAAATCAACCTTTACTCCAGTTTTCCAAGTATCCCCTTAATATTTTAAAGGCTATAAATACTTTGAAATAGAAAATATCTACACGGTAAACTCTAAAGCTCTACAGGCCTTCCTATTTTTTTTTTTTCCTAAAGACTAAAAATATGGCATCCTGAAAAAGCTTTTTTTCAAGTATCTAATCAGTTCATTATAAAAATCAGTGCTATTAGGTGGCTCATCAGATTTCTTCTTAGTGCAGTAAAAATAATGAAACAAAATAGTGAAACATTGGCTTATGGAAAGCTTTCAAAATACGAAGTGTGAACTATGTAAGTATAAAATAAAAAGATAAATACATAGTTGAATAGGTAAGAGTGCCATTGTCTATGATGAGCTCTGCTAATTGGTGGATTACCAACCTCTAGGTAAAAACTCCCTAATTCTTATCTAGCAAAAGCTTTTCAGTGAGAGCATGCTCACTGAAACAGTACTGACCATTGTTTTCAGTGAAATCTGGTATGTATATATGAGATGCAGCTGCATATTTCCTTTACATTAAATAGTTCCTGATACAGCATAGGATAGTAAGCAAGGTACTACTCAGATTCTGAAAGGACATGTTCATCAGTATTATCAGATAAAGAATGAAAGCAGGCTGTGACTTATGTATCTGTATGTCTTGTATAAATGCTGTTCCGATACAAGTCATGGAAACTCCTCAAAATTGCATTATGGTTCCTTTCCCAAGGTCTGTGGCAGGAAATGGTCCCTCTTAGCACTCTGTAACAGAGTGCCTCCATTTAAACCATCGCATAAAAACTCTGCAAGTTCTTAGTGCAGTATAATATTGCACAGGGTGCTTAACTTCCATGAGCAAGTTTTACCTATCTGTGAACTATTAAGTCCTTAAGTTGTCTCCAGTCTGAAGGTTTTTAGCATTCTGTGTGCTCCTTATATTTTCCATTTTTTTCTAGTAGAAATACAGCCCATGTCCTATAGAAACAACTTGCTAGTGTTTCTGAGAGCGCTGGACTGGATTTCTGTGCAGGTGAGTATGCTCTAAGAACTAGTTAGGTGTTACGAAGCTCAAGCACGCTTACTGACATACTTGCAAGAATACACGTAGAGAGAATTTTAGAGTTGTCCTGAGCAACAAACATACCAGAGGTGTTTGGAGTACTATCAACAGTCAGCCTGTGAGCTTGCAAACACTCTGACTTTGTGGCAAACTGGGACTGGAGGTGGTAAAAACAAACAAACAAGCCCAACCCTCTAATTCTGTTGATGTGCTTTAATATCTGTGTCTGGAGAAGTGGAGAAGTAGTTCTTTCCTGTTCTCCCAACTCAGGTATCTCCGTCTGCAGAAAACCCAGTGATCTGAGGTGAGATCAAGTGGTCAAGCTATGAATACATCCTAATGGTCGGTGTCTGAGAGGGTGCTTCAGCAGGATAGTGAAAGCAGGTTCTGCACAGTGAGACTGCATGAGCAATCTGTAACAGGGGTTATTCACGCAGGTCGGTGCAAACAAAAGTGTGTTCTTTGTCTGACCAGGCCTGAGTCAGCTCCTCTTTGAAGCTGAATTCTGAGTTAGGATGTTTCTTTTTACTTCTATTTCCTAGCAACTCATGTCTAAGGATTGTACTGATGTCTTTGACAACAGATGTTCACTTATTAGTGTCTACTGTTAAAGTTATTTTTGTCCTTTTTTTAAGGTCTATTTATTAAAACTTAACCAATAAAGCACCTAGTGAGTTGAAAGAGATGCTTATACATGGACTCCCTTGTAATTTGGAGGAGAAATACATTTTTTCATACCACATTTGTGTGAATAAAACATTTCTAAACATGAGAGAAGGTTGAGATGGATGGGGGTTAAAAGTCTCCCCTAGTGTAGGGAAGGGGAGAAAAATCGTTACTGGAATAGAAGTCTACGTGCTGGGGAGGTTAAAACTTTATTGAAGAAAGTGCTGAGATAGACTGCTTGGAGTGAAACAGTTTAGGCTCTCTGGATTTCCACAGTGCTGTAGAGGTATATGTTGAAAGCCTAGTTTCATTAAAAGTAAACTCTGTTATTTTGTTACTTTTTGTTTTTGGTGCAGGGAGATGGAAGGGGTGAGAAAAGCCTTCAGAGTTTTGTATGCTGGATCAGTGGACTATAGTTAATTCTTCCTTAATGTCATATCTTAATATAGGTATTGAATGCGCCCTAAGTATTAAGACTCTTCAAAAGTATCCAGTCCTGCTCTGGTGATGTATTACATATGGAGGCTTTGTGTTTTTATGTTTTTAAGAGGATAAAAATCCAGAGTATTAAATTTTTGAACTGGGCTAACGAATAAGTGAAGATTTTTTTTTTTTCTTTTGACATGAATCAGTTGCACTTTGGTGGATACTGAGAGTCCTGCAACTTCAAATTGGCTTTTGTGAATTGAAGAAAAAAGTCATCTTTTTCCTTATGAGAAAATAATGTAGAAAATAATGGTTAAAAAGGATTCACAACCCTAGAGAATTGATACTGTCCTGGATTCCAACTGAAGATGACTGATTCTATATTATATTAAGACCACCTCTTTCTCTCTAGTCTTAAAGCTGTTTCCAGGCAGTGTATCTAGCTCAGTATACCAAGAGGTAACCCTTACACTGACTGGATGTTTCTCTGGGTTGCTTTCACGTAGTGATTGTCAAAAAAACAAACAAACATGTCTGGACACAACCTGGAATCTGGGCTAACCCCTTCACCTACCAGCATAATTCCCACCCTAAGTGGAGCACCACGACTGGCCTTGACAGACATACCTCATGCCTCTGATGTGTGAGTGGTCTCCTGGGGAAATAGCATGTGGAAACTGAACAGAAGTATGTGCAGAGGTATTCAGTACTGATGGTTGGGTGACACAGTGTGTAATGGAGCCGCATGGAGTTAAATCAGTTAACCTGAAAATCATGAAAATTATCTGATCCGTCAGTGTGTATATATGTAGTTTCCCTTCGTGTGCATCTCCAGTACTGAATTAAAGAGTTCAAAGTCTGGAATATATATTGATTTGTAGGCCTGTTCACCTTTGGGGATAAGGAAGCTATAGCACATTTCACCTACTTTTAGAAGTCTGCAGATTAATAGGACATTTAAATTAGGTTACATTTTGCCTTATGTCATTTAAAAAAAAAAGCATGGGGAGCCAACAGGATGTAAGTGTATTCTTGCAGGCATTGCAGAAACAAAACTTAGAGTACTTGAGAAATTTAAGGGATATGCTATGTTCATGAAACAAGATGAGTAGTCATTTAAGTTCTGTTGGTGATAAATGGAGTCTTCTATAGCCTGTAAGGGACTTGAAAAATCTGCCTCGCCTTTTACAAAAGTTACATGCATAGGAGTCTTCAGCAAAACAGTCTAAACAATAAATGGGTAAAAAGCCATTTGCCTTGTAATCTAGAGGGTTTTAATAAAGTGCAGCAGAACAATCAAAGGTGCATAAAAATATACATCTGCACTCCTTTCCTGTGCTGAAAGAGGGATAGAAGGAAATGCTGAGAGCTCAGTGCTGTAGCAGAGCTACCAAAGTAGTGTTGAGGCTGTGTGGTCTGCCAGCCAGACTCTTCTGCAGCTCTTTTCGGGAGGAGGTGGGAGCCTTGGGGAGAGCGATGTTAAATGATCCTTCTTGTTGAAGATTGTGTGATTACAGCAAGGGGTGCTACCATGCTGAAAGGAGAAAACTATAAAAGCTGGATGAAATTAACCTGGGAATTCAAATACCTGTCCCTTCTCAGTGTTTTCGTAATACTGGCTTCCAACAATGAGCAACAAGAAGGAAACCTGTTAAGATTTGCTTTGTGCCCAGAACAGAAAACCAGATTGATCAATCATCCTTAGGACTGCTGTTGTAACTATTGGTCTTTGTTACGGCTTCTACCAGACAGTGGTGCTGGTTCACAGTCCCAAACTGACAAGGCACTGCTTTGAAAGAAACACTACTTGAGACTAAATGGTCCTTACCATTGCAATAAGACCAGGTGTGGAAGCATGACTTTTTGAGGTCTCAAAAACCTGGGTTGCCAAGAATTTCCTGTTTGTGGGTGCCCTTTTTGGCCTGATGTCCAAGTCTGCTGGTATTCAGAGAAATAACGACAGCTCCTGACCATGCCACAGTTCATGAAAGGTGTGCAGCACCTTTCATAGGGCAGCAATACCAGTCTGTATTGGTGATACCAAGCATGTGCAGTGTGAACTCATACATTGCTTGCTGAGGAAAAGCATGTGCAGTATGGCTGTAACCTGTAGAACTGGTGCATTTTATCACTGCGTGAGTCTCCCACATGATTTGAACTTTGTCAGAACAGTGGTTAGCTGCTTTACCCTCATTCACCGAGGAGAGATCTATCTTGATGTTACTGAGACTGAGATTAACATCTGTTGGCTTCGTGCTCCTCGTTTTCAGTTGGGAAGTTAATGCATTACCTTATTCAGAGAGTTTCAGAAACTATAACCATGCAGCTGTTTATCCCTGATAGACCAAGTTGTCTGTTCTAGTATCAGGATCATGCTTGCATTTTGCAAAGAGTTCTCATACTCCTTAAGTCTGCCAATAGATCTGAAAGTGCAGAAGTTACAACAAAGTCTAGGAACATTGGTACACTTGAAAGCTTTCTAGTCCATTGTGATGCTAGTGTAAAATGACTCTTTCTGCCTAAAATAGAGTATGAAGCATGCTTCTTGGTCAGATAAGGGAGTTTAGACTAGCGTGCAATGGAATCCTGTAGTACTGTTCTAACAAAAGTGACTTCCACACGTACAAACACAAATCTGCAAGAAAGCGGTAGATAATCCAGAAATACATTGATCTGGAAGCCCACAGATCTCAGCAATATGGAACTAGGAGGGAATGTGTTAAGCAGTGGGAGTGCTGGCAAAGATGAGTAACCGGGTGAGTTCCATGTTTTATGAACAACACCTAGCAAAGTGTACACTTGGTCTTCTGCCCAAATGAAGTAAGTTTCCAGGTCTGCCTAATGAAGTAAAATCACAACTTATGTGCTGCTTCCAACCCTTGTGCCCTTGGAGCTTACAGTCTTCCCACCTAATTCATTTAGGGATATCAGAAACAAACTCAGAGGTACTTACCTGTAAACAGATGGATTAAGCTCTCAAGACTTGGGGAAAAGACCAAGCAACACACATTTCCTCAGTGTGAGGTAAGTATTCTGAAACTTTTCTGGATGCATCATGAAGACAAACCTAAGGTGATAATAGCATTCATTTTAATAGATTTATGTAGTCGAACTCTGCTACTTCTAATCTGTGGACATCCTTTTGATGGAATGTTTGATACCTTTTACCTCACATGACAAACTGCCATGTTGCAATCTGATTGTCCAGTACTTTGTGTGGGAGGTTTTGTGTTCATCTGTAGAACCTGCACAACACTGAACGTGTGTTCAAGATGGGAAGGCCCCCTTTTTTTGAGGTGTGGTCTGCTGTAATTTTTTTGTCAAAGATGCTTGTTTTCCCCATGGGTTGCGACTCAGATTCCAAGCCTCAAGTTGGAGAGACTACAGCGTAGGTCTTCCTTTGGACTTGATGGTGTTTTTTTATGTAGATAGTAGGAATCCTGTTTCTGAACTTTAGTATACCTTTGGAAGGTCACTTTTAATTATCTCAAAATCAAGGAAATTACTGGACATTGGCACAGAAAACTTTTTGTGTTCTTGGTCTACCATAACCATGCTTTTCCAGATTTGGAATTTGTCATTGCAGGATGTATTGATGTTGTACACTTAACTATAGTTCCCCATCCCACCATTCAGGTATAAATAATTAAAAATATTTTATAACATTATTTAGAATAAAGATTCTTTAATATTAAAATCTAGTTTTGACTTGATGAATTCAATTAAGTTTTCTAATAAATAGACCATGGATTCCACTAAACACAGGAGACATGTAATGAAGCTGCAGATGTTTACCATTTCTCTGATAGTTCTGACTTTTTTTATTACAGCTAGCTTTTTTCTGAGCATGCAAGGCCAAAAAGTGACTGTACTTACTACTAACTTTACATCTTTATCCTTGAGGGGGCTGTGAAATGTTACAAACAAATCAGGAACCTTCCTCATTTCTCCAAACTTCAGGAAATGTTATTTCTTCACAGCTGCTTATTTCCCTAGTCTATGCTTTCTCTTACTGTGTGTGTATGTCTCTGTATAGGTACATATGCCTATATTTACACCTCCAAAAGATAAAGGGGAATGTTACTAATACACAAAAGCTGACATATTTTCACAATTGCAAAGAACAGGTTGGCTAGTAAAATGCCTTCCTGCATAGTATCTGCTACAAAAGATCAGGATATGGAGGAAAAAAAAAATCACTGTTGCTTGACAGAATTTCTTTACTCCATGCATATGTTATACTTACATTGTTGGTGTGTGTGAAACTAAAATCTTCCAGGAAAACCTGTCAGTTGAGAGGGGAAGAAACTTTTTTTTGGCTTGAATGCATTTTCTGATGACTGAAATTGGCTGAGGATAGTGCAGGTGCTGAACCTGGAGGTACACAACATACACAAGTTTTCTTCCTTTTTCTCGAATTCCCTGAACTATTGGAAAGTTGAGCTTTTTCATTAGCTGGAGAGCAATTGTGGAAAGATGCTCAAGTGTGTCCTGAGTGGTGGGTGCAACTGGAAGAAATGAATAGGAGGAGAATACCTATTAAGGGATGTGTTTTTTTAATACACATATATGTGATTGGTAACTTGAGTGTTTCTAAAGTGATGGATGGTTGGTTGGAAGGACATTAAGGAGAAAATTATAGGTACATAGATAGCCCTAGGAAGCTGCTATTAGAGTTAGGATACTGAGTGAACAGAGCTGTGGTATGACGTTGCCACAGCCCTCCTCATATTCTTGTGGGGGTGTGTTATGTATTCCTTGATGGAGGCATTATGGAATTGGCGGTAAGAAAGCTAGGACAGCTTAAATACTTGATGTAGTGAGATTCTTTCTCACTAGGGTCTACTTCAGTTGTGTATAATTATTTCCTTAAAATTTATCAGTTGTTCAAAGCACTGAGTGCAATGTCATACAAAGTGATAGTAAAAATGTGATAATCTTGATCCCTCTATTTGTGATTTTCCCCCTCCAATTTAAGAACTTGGTGGTTCCTATGACCTGAGTCCTTGCCTTGTTCAACTGTTCAACATCTGCTAAAGGTTTGTAAGTTCCAGCCTTAAGTTGTGCTGTGTGGCTGACTTACCTCTAGGAGCTTTCTTCCGTAGTTGACAACAAATGTTGAGGTCTGCTCCAGTACCTCAGTACTGGAATGCTGTGACGCAAATTGAGCTTACTTCAGGATGCCTTAGAGACTGAAATTAGCAATACGTATGGTTATATGGTTGTATGCTGGTTAAATATCCTGATAAGGTTGCCAGTTCATGTTGTCCAGGTTTCATCATCTGTGCTGATTGAATTCAGCAGGTGACAATGGCAGGGCTCACAACAGCTGACAAGTTTGGCTGCCTCAGTTGAATTGGTACAGCTTAATAATGGAAAATAATGGTTAAAGTAGGTTCTGTGAGGAAACAGAATAGAGGGAATTAATGCGGATCTAGATTTCAAGATAAAAGTTCAAGATAAATTTTCAAACTTGGGCAAAACTATTAGATAAGATACCAATGTATACATTGTGCAGAACACTTCCTTTAACGAGTATGCTTTGAAGGTACTATTTCCTTTTTGCTGATTAATCTGTTGTTAAATTTCCATTAAGTATTTGAAAATAAGTGATAAACTTGTTTTTAGTGATAAATGTGCAAAATTGAAGTTGTGTGGAAACTTGTTTGCATGAACTAGCACACAGGAATTATATCTTCTATATACTTCTACCAGGGACTCTGTTTTTTAATTTAGGTGCCTAATTGAACTGAGAACTGGAAGAGCTTCTAGGTTAAGTTCATGCCATGTCACTAGAGGTAGAAATATTTTAAAATAAATACCCAACTTTCTTTAGTCAAGTGCAAAGCTTTCTGAATTTTAATAGGGTAAGAATTATAATATTGCCTCTTAAGAAATGAGGGGAAACTCAGTGGTGACAGAACTTACTTTGCATGTTGTGTTTTGTATAAACTGCTCTGGAATAGAAGTTAGCTAGCTGTTGCCATGTCTGAACAGTTGGTGGCTCCAATGCTTTGCAGCTGTCAGTATGCGTAATGCCAAAATAAGCTAATTCAGTTCTAGCTGTATATGTTGAACTAGTTAGAAACTTAGAATGACAGACTTAGTAAATAGCCAAACACACCCAGCTTGCACTTTAAGCCATTATGTAAGATCCCTTCTTAATATTTAAATAAGCACTAAGTTCTGCATTCCTGTCAAACTTGATATAAAATCTAAGAGGCTACCTTGCAAAATGCCAATTCAGAATCAGTAGCAATGTTCTTGAAACCAGCACAGCTGACAGACCACTCTTATTCCATATTGCAGGATTGCACAGGCAAGACAGATGACAGCTATCCTGACCAAAAGGCAGGCAGGGGAAAATAGTCAGTTTCCAGGAAAGAGGCAGAGAGGAGCATGTCTACTATGTACTCAATCTTGAAACTGAGAGACAGGCAACTGCTTATATACCTAAAAAGGGAAATGTTTTGTTTTGACTTGAAGTAAAAGGTTTAGAGGGCAGTGGAGTTTGATAGAGTAAGATCATAACTTGAGAAGAGCCCATGCTAATGAGCTGTCATTTTTGTTCATGTGACTGTACAAACATTTATTAAACAGAACTTAAGTGGAGTTGAGAACTTTGTAGAAAGTGTTAGCTCTAGAAATCTGCAAAAAGGCTTGGATTAAAAAATAAAAGTAGAAATTGGACTAGAAATTTCCAGGGATGTGTGTTGCATTTTTTTTAAAATCCCCAAAGTCCCTGAAAATGTAATTGAAGAGATAGAAAACTCCTCCCTGAGTTTACATGTTTTGCTGGAAAATGAAAATGTAGAACTAATTTTTACTTTGTTTAAAAAAAATAAATAACTGAAATATTTGTATTACGTTGTCCTGAACTAGTGTAGGTACCTTATGTTCCTGTTTTCATTTTTGCCTTGTTTCTCACCTGTTTTTGTATTACCATGTTTCCTTCTTTAAACTTCTGTAGCTTGTCGTGGGAACAGCCCTGATGGACAAAAATATGAGGAGAGCAACCTTCAGATACGGTTTAGCCCTCAGAACTAGAGTGAGGTAGAGAGCAGCCTGAGAAGTTGTAGGCCACTATGAGTCAAGGTGAGAGTGCAGTCTGTGTAGCTTTTCTGTTTCTGTAGGGTTCAGTGTTACACACGAATGAGTTCTCTTGGGGCATTGGCAGCATGGGGGGCAGCACTGGCTGTATGCAAACAAAATTCCTTGCAAAGATACCTTTTTTTTCTGTCTCCTGGAGGAAAGAAAAGAACAAAAATAGCCCTGCTGAGCAGAATTTGCATGACAGTTTGAATTGCTCTATAACATCATGGTATCTTTTGCAATATTTCATCAAACAGTATATTCTAGCAAAATGATGTGAAAATAAATATTATTCAACTCGTACCTTCATTGTTTTGGCTTACAAAATTAAGATTTCTGAACTCTTGACTCTTTTTGGTGTATACAAAGTCATCCAGGACTTCCACTTAAAGACAAGTCTGGAATGCAGTTAGAGGTACACTATTTACAGGAATCGTGAAGGAGAGCTGCTTTAGCTTTTCCTTTGAGTCTACAGAAACACTTCACAGATGTTTTTTCCTTTTTTGTCTTAGTATTTCTAGTATTTTAAGTTATCAAGTGTTCATGAATTCTGATGAAGCCTAAGATTAAACTTAGCTTTGTATTATTTTAACACTGCTTTGGAATGCTAGGTGGATAACATCAGGCTAACTTTCTAAATATTTACATGCTGTAATGTCCAATTCTTGTTCATAGAGTGGATTTGTAAGACCCAAACTAGATATTCCTCACTCACATGCAATATTTAGTTTCCATGAAATGTATGTTAATGCTATTGACGAGCTAGGAAATGCATGCAGTTCAGAGATCCTTTTCCAGGGTATGCCTCAAGCTAGTCAGCTCACTAACTGGGAGAGTTTCCAGTTTATAAAATACATTCTTTTCCTATGCAAGAGGAAGTTCAGTTTCTTAAGAGTGGTGATAAGGGGTGGTATGAGAATTGGTGGTATGTGTGTATCTGCATAACCACGCTGTTTTTGTGTTTGTTTTTGTTTTTTTTTTTTTTATAATGAGGATCTAGGCCTAACTATTTTCATACATGAGGCTATCTGTTTACAAACTGGAGAACTAAAGGAGAAGTACAACTTAATAGGTAGTTCAGGAACAGCAGAAAACCTTGTTGTTTTGTGGCTGGTTTTGTTGTCTGAAGCAATCAAACTGTAACAGACATTTCTGATCTCATACCTCCCAAAAAGTACCCATACAACTCCCCAAAAGTACCCATTAACTAGTTATTAGGGGCAGGTAGACACGCACATCATTATATGTACAGTGTGGTTTTCATGAAATGTAAGGTTGGAAATTGACTTACAATGTTTTGGAGTTCCTTACCAAGGTCATAAATGCTTTATGTAGTGGTGTAAATTGCATCTTGTTAAATATGCAGTGATTTATGAAGAGAGCATGAGATGTAGTTAGGGAGGCTCAACAGCCCTTCAACAGAAAGTTATAGCTCTATTTTGTTTATTTATAGTGCAGAAAGAGATCTGCACCAGAACTTCAATATATGAAATACTTGATAATAAGTCAAAGGAGATTGGAATCAAATACTGACTTCCAGTACCTCAACTTGGTGGACTGAAGTTCTACTCTCACTCAGGCCAGTTGCTGCAACTATTACAGCACAACTGTTATAGTATGTGTTGGGAAAACAAAATATAGGTGCAAACACCCTTATTGATATTTGACCACAAAACATAACAATTAGAGCATTTTGGGCTGAACTTCTGGTTATTGTTTTCACTTAAGTTATGGATTCAGGTGGGACCTAGTGATGAGGTATAGGTCACTTGCTCAACACTGACAGGGTGTAGTTATTAACAGCCTGCTTCTAAACAAAAATGTCTGAGAGCCTTTACTGATGGAAACTTCAGCCCTTATTGACTCCTGGCAGTGGTTAGGTTTGTCTAAATGACAATTTAAAATGACTGAACTCTGTATTTAATGCCAATGAATTGGTCCCCTTTAACTGCCTGGATTCTTTTGTTCTACAAACAGTAAGCCACACTATGAAAAATACGAGAGCTGAGGGAAAAACGCCAAAAAGCATTGTAGCTCTGTGGGTTGAGTTTTTATTTAGGACTGAAATTGCACTCTGCAAAATATATATATTTTTTAAATTTTTGGTGCTGTTTTAAGTAGAATTAATATAACTCTAGTTTGCACTTGTTGAAAGGGGGAATGCTAAAACTCATGACAATATAAGCACTTAATTCAGTTGCACGAAGTTTAAGGATCAAGTATGTACGTTGTTTAGATGCAAGCCCTGTGGATTATACCTCTAAGAAACAGCTTTTCATATTCTTTGCACTTAAAAAAAAATAAAGAGAAAAAAATGGGCATCACCTACAGAGTTGGAATAAATGCTTCACCAGTTGCAAGGGCATAAAGAATAGTAAATAGCAGACCTCGTGAATGATGCAAATTACTGTATGAGCATTTATACATGTGAGCGTTGACTTACCTGCTAATTAGAATCATAGAATATGCCAAGTTGGAAGAGACCCATAAGGATCAAGTCCAATTCATTAGGGTGGTGCCTGGTCCTCTTGTTGAACAAGTATCTGATTGCAAAGTCTCCTTGGGCATCATTGTTCTGATGAAGTAAAAGTAATGCAAACATCACATGTGGACTAAAGGAAACAAATTCACCTCTCTAGGCATGATGAGACTTGAATATTTTATTAACTGATAGGCACAGTTCTCCCTTTGTGACATGCAGGGAAAGGAATAGGTGCTTCCTGTGTCTTACGTACTTAGGGGTAACCAAAATAGCATGTTAACCTTGTGTAAATGTTTCAAAGAAGAATATTTAAGTATCAAATGAAGTGCATGTTTTTTTCAATACTGATGTTGGTAAATGGTGATATTGAATGCGGACTTTTTTTATATTTGGATCAGAATGCGGAGCTGTACTTCTAGTTACATGACACCTACATTTGTGTGTTGCATGTGAGTATTCTGTGTAAGTTGCTGCTTTCCTCTGCTGCAGTCTTCCTTACTGAATTCCCTCCTAGAGAAACACTGCAGATGGTCTTGTCTGATCATGTTCTTAATTGGGTGGGCCTGAGTTAAATATCGTGAAAGCAAGACGAGTGATACTAATCAAAAGGAAACAGAGTAAGAATGTACAACAGGAGGATATCTGATGAAGTCCCCATGGGAATACTATACCTATCAGTAAAAAGTACTTTTGAAAGTACATTGATGGCTGAGCCATGCTTGAAGTGTAAATTATTAATTAAATAAAACCTATATGAAAAAATACGTATGCAATTACATAGGGGATACATTTCTCTGTGAATGCTTGAACTCATAAATTACTGTAAAGAACTGAAGCATGCATTGCCTACACTTCTAAAACCATTTTTCCCTTTAAGGGAAGCAGTGATTTAAAAAAAAAAAAAAAAAAGTTGGGGGATGAGGCAGGACAAGGCTCCTCCCTGCATGCTGGCAGGGGGCTGCTGCCTGGAGCGTGACATGGAGCAGTGTTGCTCGGGGTCTGAGGGCTGCTTTTTGGGGATCTGGGCCTGGTGGTATTGTGGGGAGCAGGACAATGCTGTGAGGAGATGCACAGGGGCAGGAAATGGGGACACAAGGGATGGTCAGGGCAAAATGTTCCGGGGGATATGCATTGATCAATGTTCTGCAATAATAGCAGAAGGGTGTTTGTTATGTGGTTTCCACAAAGGATGGACCCCATGGCACAGCCCATATTGGAGCAGTTATTGAAGAGCTCCTGCCTGTGGGAAGCCCGCCTAAGGATCAGTTTGGGAAGGACGTCATCCCATGGGAGGGACCCCACGTGGAGCAGGGGCAGAAAGTGACCATGAAGGAGCGGCCAAGGTGAAGTGCTGTAGACTGACTGTGCTGCTTGGGGAGAGGATGTAGAAGAGGTTGGGGAGAGGGGAAGGTGTTTTTTGCTCTTATTTTCTCACTGCTCTGGTCTGTTAGTGACAGGCAATAAATTGTATTAATCTTTCTATATTTAGTCTGTTTTGTCTGTCACAATAGTTGGGTGATCTCCCTGTCCCTATCTCAACCTTTGAGCCCTTTCCATCGTATTTTCTCCCCCATTCCTCTGAGGAGGGGAAGTGAGAGAGTGATTGTGGTGGAGTTCAGCTGCCCAGCTGGGTAAAACTACCACAGTGGGTGTGGTAGGGTGTGGGTGTGGTGATGGTGGGAGAATAAACTATGATGCTCTGTTGTTACCAGCAATTATTTCCCCAGCATTTTGTATCAGCTGTCTCCATGTTGATAACTCATTGTAATTGCAAATAGTAAAACAACAACAACAACAAAAATCCTGTTAACATTTTTATAAAGATTTTTTTGGTGAAATTTAATAACTCAAAATGAAAATCCACACTTCGACCTGTATTTGTAAATACATTCTCAAACTTCCATAATACTGGTATGAATGCTTTCAGTACTACAGTTAATGGATCCTTAGATGAGCTAAATTTAGAGATGAGTGTGCAATTTTACTGGCCTCATGTAAATTTATGGGGTCATTGGTAGCAGAGTAAGGTAGTGTTACGAATCCGAATGGTGCGTAGCTTTTAGTTCTGGTTTACTAGCTTAATTAGCTCAACCTAAAGTAAGAGGAAAAAAAAACACCTTAGTAACCGTAAAATAGTTCTGCATAACTAGAAGAAGAAAAAAGTTGTTCCCTGCTGTTTCTTCAAGGAGCTCCATCTGAGTGTTAGGATCTCCCACTCTGTTCAGAACAAAAGGATAGTGTTGGAATGAAGAGCTTACAAAGAGCTCTGGTCAGTAGAGCAGAAATAGATGCATGGAGTTGGCCATAGGGACATGGTGTGAACATACTAATCAAGACAACAGTCCATGTTCTTAATGAAGAAAAAACTTCCTTATGTGCTATGATGCATGTGAAGATAATAGTTATGACTCAGCACCTAGAAAGCCTTGAAGAATGACTTAAAGGAGAATGAAAAACCTTAACGGATGTTTGAACTACTTTCGGATACATGAAGCAAAACAGGAGATAGTATGAAAGTATTTTGTCATTTCAGAAGTTGAAGATGGAGGCAGGTCTTGTAGTGGGAACATGTTTTTTATATCATTGGTGAGATGGGAACAGTAAAGGGATATTCGATCAAAGACTTGCGTTTGACATGACAAAAGGAATGTGCAAAAAGGTGTGGATAAAGCAACGGGTCAGGAAAGTTATTTCTGTAGCTGCCTTCTGAAAGGATCCAGTCAGGGAAGGCAGCTCAGCTAAATAAAGGGTTTCAGTATTTGCAAACAAGATGGCAGTGTTAAGAGTGTTAGCTATGTAGGTAAATAGGAAACTTAAGTGCTGTATGCCCAAAATAATAAAGTTTCATTTTAGCTTGATGAGTTGCACCAGAGGATTGAGGTAATGTAGTGGTTTGTTCACGATGGAAGGAAGGCAAAATGAGAATGTGTGGAAGTGTTGGGTTCTTTAGTCATTCTGAGTGGACAGACAGGTATCAGTGAGGAGACACCGATGTACATGTCAAAGCTTTGGTCAGGAAAAGAGGCAAGACTGTATGTGCAGCTAATGCTGATGTTCACTCTCACCAAGTTCCTATATATCATCATGTTGAAATAAGAAAATTCCTTTCTTATACATATTGTTACAAATATGCAGGAAGTTTGTCCAGAATATTTGTTTTATGAAACTTGTTAGCTAGAAGATATGTATTTTTTTCCTATAACACAAAGATCAGGAAAGATTCAAAACATAAAACTGGCAGGAAAAATAAATTGTCTCTCTTATTTAAGCTAAAGTTAATTATTTCCTTCATAGTTGTTATGCTAAAGTAATTTAGCAAAAAGTTTTTGCTAAACAAAGTTTTGTACTAAATGAACCTTCATCTCAAATGAGGTAGCTAAAGGATGTATATAAAACTTGTTTACGAAAAAACACAAACTTTTTTTTCCCTTAATCTGTAGAATTAGTGTGTAGAGGTTTCAATGAGTTGTGACTGGCAGAAGATGGGATCAATTCACTGTAAATCCCTCGAGTCCAGGATCATTTGTTGCTGTTGGCAAACTATTGTGCAGTTGTGATGTAAACAAGAAACTTGCACATCTTTTTAAAGTAGGAATACTTTTATTTCTTATCCTTCAAGACTTTCCCCTCTCCTCTAATAATTTTCATAGATTTATTGTGAATGCTGTGCATGTCTTATGTTAGGTGTTGAAGCTGGTGTTCCACGATTCCCAGAATTTCCTCTACAGTCTTCAAGTTGCTGAATAAGATCCTTCACTTTCTGTCTTCCACATCCGAATTGTTTTCCCCAATGTTATTTTTCAATATTTAAGAGTATTCTATTTTAAGAACTTGTGCTCTATTGACTGACAAGGTATTTATTGTCCATTAACAGCTTACAGACAAGGCATTGCATTTTTCATTATTTCTATTTTGGTCTAAAACTTCTTTGGTCTAAAAAATCTTTTTATTTGCAGGGGTACATCATGTTCTGCTTTCCCCTCTTTATCCTCACGAAAGGCCCCAAATCTCTTTTGCTGCAGTTTGCTTTATCAAAGGATTGTAACCTGTTATCTGTGTTCACTCTTTACATTAAATGCCATGGTTCTGTTTACTAACAGTAGAAGAGCAGTAGAACAAACTATGTTAAAGGATGTTTCAAATAATATATGCTGGAATTTGCTGACAGAAGAAAACTGCCAAGTCCATGAGCATAGGTGGCTGAAAAAAGGAAATGCTGGTTCTTTCCACTTGTTACAAATTGTCACTCAGTACAGGGGATGTCAATATAATGGTTCCCTTCTCTTATTGCTTTGCTCAGCAGTGAAGTAGTTGATTTCTAACTGATGTGTCAATTTGTTACCCTTATTTAAAGGGCTGTGTAGAATAATTCACATTCTCCACATTTATTTTTTTTCAGTCTTGTGTTGAAATTGCTGCCACAGTTAAAAGATTTCAGTGAAAAGATTTGAGCAAGAGCTAGGATAGACGGATGTTGTAAAGTGCTGAATGATCACTGGCAGTTTCAAAACTTAGTAAGAAAATATTTCCAGCTAAATGGGGTAAGATATATCATTAAAGCTTGTGGGCTTCATAAGGGAATCTAACTTGAGGGGATTCTGAATTTCAGAAGCAATTTCAGAGAGAACCTGATGAACCCAAGCTGCCTGCCCAGTTGCTTCGACAGCTACCACCGGACATTGGCTTCTAAAATCAGAGATTTTGCGAACCAGTCCTCTGTCACTTTTGCCTCTGATTACCGGAATTTTTGAAGCTACCTTGGAGGCAGCTGAGTTTTTGGAGGCACTCTTCAGGAAAGCGCAAGCCTGGCATCAGAAGGCGAGCTCACAAAACCCCTCTGCGACCACTGCTGTTGTGCAGTGTCTCTAGAAGCAGGTCGCTTGAGGGCCGTCCTGAAGGCGGATCCTCGGGGGCTCCCTCCTCACACAGCGCTGCGCTGCCCCTTCCCCTCACGCCCGTGCTGCCGGGGTCTCCTCTTCCCTCAGCGCCGCTCCCCGAGCCCCCATCCCCTGAGGGGCCACCTCCGGGGACTCCTCCTCGCACTCTGCGGGCGGGGACCGGGGGAGGGTCCCGGTCCACTCCCCGTCCCGTCCCGCCCGCAGGGGGCGACGCTGGCGGCCTCCCCCCGCCGCCTCGGCTGCCGGTGGGGCCATGGCGGGCAAGGGGCTCGGCCTCGTCGTCCTGCTCCTGCTGGCCGCCCGCGGGGCCGGGGAGCCGCGGGGCTGCGAGGCGGTGCGGAAAGTTTTCCAGCTGCGACAGATCGGGCCCCTCCGCGGGGTGCCGGACTCGCCGCGGGCAGGTAAGGGGGGGGGGGTCGCCCAGCCCGGGGGTCGCGGTGCCGCTGGACCGGGGCGAGGAGAAGCCGAGTTAGCCCTGTGCTGAGGGAGAGGGGCTTGCACCGCTCTAGCTGTAATTAAACAAACTCCCCGGAAAGTAGCGTGCTAAATAGTAGGAATCTGAGCGCAGCCCAGCGTAGTGCGGGCAGCGAAACTTTGTAAGCGCATGCAAAGTGATGTGGCGGAGCGCATCAAGGAGACCTACCTTCTGGGGTCTGCGGCTTGGTCCTCCAGCCGTGTGAGTACCTCAGCGGTGCTCCTCACAAATTTAAAATGAAGACCTGCGTGTAAAATCCATTCGTGTTTAGGTGTCAGGCGTGCTAGGAAGCGCGAGTCGATGCTTTCCTGGCAGAAAATGACTTCTGTGTGCAGCGGGAGCTAAATTAACATCCACCCTACTTGGAAACAGCAGCTGCCTCCTCCTTTATTTAAGATGATCTGCTTAGTTTTATTCATTCTGCAAGGCACGCTGTGTCTATTCCTAGAGGAATCACTTCAAAATACAGCTTTTTAAAGACTCTGGCTTCTAAACTGTGCACCGTAATGCTGTGTTTAAGATTATCTGTTGTATTTCGGTCACCAGTACTTATAATAATATACGTAGCCTTCTTACGTTGTCTCTAGCTAAAAATTTTATCGTCTTTACAAAAAAAAAGAAATACTTGCTTTTGTTGGAAAGCCTGGCTGGATGGGTACTGTGCAAAAGAAGATACTTTATCTGGAAGCTGAAATCTGAGTTGAAGCCCTGTTAGTGATTTAAATGTCTGGTATTGATTAATCACGTGAATGACATCAGGATGAATGATAGAGCTATTGTGGTTGTGTTCTCATTACGTAGACTGGTGTAGCTGTTACACTTTCTTTTGCCAATACCATTTATTTTGGCACCAGACGTTCACTTGTGTACTGTGGACAGGGAGAAAACGTGTTGCCTCCAGAGGAAACAACTGTGGTATTTCATGCATGTTCCTTCTGCCCTGCTTCTGTCTTTCTCCCTTCCTCTATAACAGTTTCATATCACCACTCTCATTTTATTCTTTTCTGAATTTCCCGATCCCGAAGCAAAAGCTGGTTTTGTGCAGAGTAGCAGAACGCCCTTCTCCTCCGGTGCCCTGCGAGCAGTGGTCAGCAGGAGGTGCGGTGCAGCCGTTCGCTCTTTCAAGGAGTTGTGGTGCTGTGAGCAGCCTGGAAAACCTCAAGGAGCTGTGCACATGCAGGATTTCTTGCTTAGAGTATCTTTGATCCCAGAGGTACATGAAACAAATGGTTCTGAATGTTAAAATCTGTTCAGAGTTGGATGACAAGAAAATGGGGATTAAATGAGTGTTTTAGATGATTTAAGTTTGATTAAAGGTATTCGTAGGTTGGAAACGTAATGGGAATAGGAAAGAAGTGTCACTTCTCTTGATGATCTTCTATACTCAGCCTTCTTCTGAATCAAGAAGTGAAAAATATTTTAAAACTCTTTCTGAAGGCATTTAGAAATGTGCGTGTATCCTATGTATATGCATAAGCACCTTAGGTAGGTGCCTGCTTGTGAAAATAGGCGTCAGAGCTGCAGTTATGGGTCTCAATTCGCTTGCCCAAACATAGGCTTCTGGTAGCATTGGGGATTCCCTGTAGCCTCTGGAGTATCCTGGTGGGGCTGTCAGGTCCCATCCCTCTGGGGCACCTTGTGGAGTGGGAAAGCACAGTGGGAACCCTTGGCACTGCAGGTGGGTGACCACACTGAGCGGTGGGCACAGCTTGGGGCCTGCTCCTTTTCAGCTCAAATGTTGGGTGGCGGCTTGGGGGTGAGCTGTGCAGCTCTTCTGCCTCCGTTGTATTGCCTACATTTGTTTTAGTGCTACTGTATTGTATAAGGACACCTTCTAAACGTCTGAAGCCGAATCCCACCTTTCATGTGGAGAAGGATTGCTAGCTGAAGGGGAGCGGGAGTGTTGGGATATGTACTGGCATGCAGTGGAAGGTAAAGTCTACAGTCAGTCAAACTACAGGGAGGAAGTTGGCTGATTTTGGCCTTGTTCTCTTTTTGTGTATTCAAATACAAATAACAGCATTCATAGTTTGTTTTTTCCTTTTCTTAGTGCTGATAGAAATGAAACAGCCTGATATCGGCAAATCATGCAAATTGTAGTTATGTGTCATTCAGGGACTGGTGTGTGTCCATATTTTGAATATGCATCAGCACAAAAAAAAACACCATGCATTTTATATAACTAGTTTTGCAGCTCCTCTGTGTAGTTTCTGTATATTTAATGAGCAAAACTCTCTCTAATAGTATGCAAAATTGTCCAGTAAGTGCATAGCGAAGATTATCATCTAGGATATGGGGACCTCACGTTTATGTTTGTGTTATTGTTCACATAACACAGGATTAGTGTTGAAATTGGCAACTAATAATCAAGAGAAATGACTACCCTTAACAACAACAAATTCTTTAGTGCTGCCCTCAGCAGTGGAGAAAACTTATCTAACTATGCACAATCTTGTAGCAGTGATTTGTGTACAGACCTGTGGTCAGCCCCATTGCATGCTAAAATGAAACATTTATCACTGTCATGCTGATTTTAAGTGATAGTTGCAGAAATGCTTTTTGTTTCTCTGCCTGTCTGGTTCTGTGCTACAAGTGCACTGGTATTAGGACTGTACAGTAAAACTTGATGATTTTCAAGTTATGAAAGATCATTTTAATTGAAATGGAGAATTGAACAATAAAAGCATGAAGTAAATACAAAAAGGCCTCTTTTTGTGTGTGTGTATGTATGACTGTTGGATTATTTAAAAAAAATAATGGTGTTTTGTTTGCAAATTATATTTTAAAGATATTTTTATTTCCTAGGCTCTGTTTCTGATATTTTCTGTCTATTGAAGAATTCCACTTCTTTACCCCATATATGCTAGTAAAGCTAGAATTTTTTAGGTTATATAATCAGCTCATTTTTCAGAGCAATTAAATGGAAAGCTCATTTCTCAAATCTCCTTGTTCTCAGTTACAAATAAGATTGTTTCCTTCTTGTTTCCTTCTCTCAGAATCCCCCAGAAATGAAGGTTAAACCAGTCTCCCTTGCCTTCTTCATAAAGGGTTTCACTAGGTATGTTAGTGAACAAATTGTCAGGCTTCTCTTTGCAACAAAAAGCTGAGTTCCATGGCTTATTGAAAAAAGTTAAATGTCCTGGAACTGTAGAATCAAACGTTTCCTACTGATGTAGACAAAAAGTGTTTGAGATATTTTTCCAAACTCTAAGCATTTTTTTTTTTTACCTTCAGGAATCAATCTAGGGTTCTTCTCAGCAGTCTTTTGGAGCTCATTTATGCAGTCAGAAGAACAAAAAGCATAATAAAAGGAGTGAAGACTCTTTGATTAGTATAAATTTTACTGCAAAGACTTTTTGATGGAAAGCAGTTATACATATGAAATTGAGTAACAGGCAAAAAACTGTGCTTGAAGGGTGACATAATCTCAGAAAAAGTTGATGTCTATTTTTTTTTTTGCTACTCAAGTTAAAATATTCTTGCTAGTTCAGTTTAAACTGATTTTTTACTGTTATTTAAAGATCTGGGTCAGACTGATGGAACTCCAAACTATTCTTTGAATTTTAATTTGGGGTTCTTTTATGATCTAAATTTAGGTAAATTAGGTTTTGGTTCTGTTGGTGGTCAAATCAAGGATTTGTATGTGTGTATGCCTGCTTCTGATTATGCTGTTTGTTGAACGCATACAGATCTCCAGAAAAGGATATAGGTGGGAATGGAAGCAGTTGCTTGGTTGTATCAGTTGTTAAGGTCCATTTTATCACATCTGTGCATTTTGTAAGGATTTTTGTCTATGTTGTTTTTCTGTGTGTGAACATACGCCGTTGGCTTCTAAATGCAAGTAGCACGTCACCCCTGGATCCACAAAATGACTGCTGTGGGGAAAAAAATAGATTTTAAAAAATATTCTGGGATTAAAAACAACAAAGAAGTGGGAATCAGCAGTGTGGCAGCTTTCCCATGTCTATTTCCTGTATTTCCACTTCTAGAAAATCAGTAGTGCTGAGAAGCCTTGATCTGGCTGGGACGATCTGAGAAGTGGTGTCTGGACTGCGAAATAGAGGATGGGACCAACATGTTGAATGGCCTAGGTTGGATCGTGTCTGTGGTGCTTCAGGCTGGTATCTTGTCAAATGGGCTGACTGTATCCTCACTACTTGGAGTTTGCCCTGGAGTTTTCTCAGGATCTAGTGTAATAGTTCTGTAATACCAAGGTACTCTGGAGTTTTGGGGTGTCCTCCCACTTCTGCCAGTTTAAACAATCTTAAAAATTGAGAATCTTTTTGGAGATGTTGGATGTAGTGTGACGTGAATGCGTATTTTGTGCGTTGAGCTGTGCCATGAGCGTATGTAGAGGTGCCTATACCTTGCTAGGGTGCCTGCCAGTAGGAGGGTGATCTTTGAGGGTGCTAAGGAGCCAAACCTGTTGCCTGTGGTTCTCTGAAGGCCATATATAAAATGCACCTTCTCTAGCAGATAGACACACTGGAACTGTCTAAACAGAGCCACAGAAGGAGGTTGGGTAAATTGTGCAACAGTGTGGGCAGTCAGGGTCATGTGCTTGAGTTTGATCCTTACCTATTTTATTTAACCAGGCTGAAGTGTTTTACAGGAGTCTTAATGGTGGTTATGAACGCTGAGTGTGGAGCAGTGGCTCTAGCCAAGACGAGTTAGCAAATAGATGTTAAAGTGTGAGCCTGAGAGACTTGTGTCTGACACAGGTTGCAAGTTCGTTTTACAGCAAACCACTTGTTTGAACAACAGCTTCCAGGCCCTCTGGCATTTCAGTGCTGTCTCTTAAAAGACCATTTATCATGACAATCCTAGGTCTGTTTTGGGATTTATCAGACTCTGGATTTGATCTCATGGAAGTATTTGTATAAGCTGACAGGCAGAAATACCACACATGTGGTATTTTCTCTTCCT